CGTTGTGCGACTACTTGATAAAAGTAAAAGAACGATGTTATTAAAGAATTTGTACCTATAATCCTAAAGATATGTGAAACTGTGGTAATTACTAAGTAATATGAAGGTTATTTATAGGTATGAATAGTAACGGTTTAATTAAAATTAATAACAATAATAACTTTTAAATTAGCATTCGTCTCGAATGGTAAAGTTAAAGAAAAGTGGAGAAATGAAATTAAGAAAAAAAATTACATAACATAACATATCCTCATGTCTTTTATCTACGAAGGGGTAGGCAGCGGTGCACATAGAAGTAACACCCACTTTTCACTATTTATGTTATCATGTAGCCTATTGCCATATACCGGGCACATTTCCAGACTCCGTGCTACTACTGAGATTTTTTTTAAAACCCAGTAATATTTTGCCCGACCCGGGAATCGAACCCGAGACCTCTTGCCCGGCAGTCGCACTCGCGACCACTCGGCCAACGAGGCAGGCTCTTCTATACTTACATAGTATACCTAGTACGATCTTATGTATGAAAAAAAATTCTAAGCCGAAAGATTTTAATAAATATATTTTTATGCATAATTTGCCTGGCAATTTGATACTGCATAATATAGTACGATGTCTAGTCATCAGTCTTTATGTAGGTACATGCAACGTAACAATAACCTTCAATTTATTATCTCACTATTATAGTTATCAGTCAAACGATAAACACAGGGCATTGTTTTTCTTAACCGATTAAAATCATTTCTCCGTCGAATGATCGTACGCATCTAAGTACCTATGTGTATGTAGATGATAAATATTTATTAGGCACTAGCTGACCTAACAAACTGCTGACTGCCTCGTTGGCCGAGTGGTCGCAAGGGCGACGGCCGGGCAAGGGGTCTCGGGTTCGATTCCCGGGTCGGGCTAAGTATTGTAGGGTATTTTTTAAAAACTCTCAGTAATAGCACGGAGTCTGGAATTGTGCCCGGTGTAGGGTTATAGGCTCACCCCCTATTACATGGGGCTCGTAACATAAATAGTGAAAAGTGGGTGTTACATTGTACACTGGTATTAGGTCCTGTAGTGTGTACCTCTGCCTACCCCTTCGGCGATAAAAGGCGTGATGTTATGTGACCCAACAAACTTCGTACCGCCTCAAAAAGTATTTTCTCTCCTTTTAACTCTTCCCTGGACTTCTACAAATAATTCAAGACCTAAATTAGCCAAATCGGTTTAGCCGTTCTCGAGTCTTAGCGATACTAACGAACAGCAATTAATTTTTATCTTTTAGCTATATGTCTCATAAGTTGTACGTATTTATTTATTTTTTCCTTTCCTTATGTTGTATCACAGAAATCTATATGTTGTATATGTCTCAGTTTCAATAAAAAGAAAATATAATATCAATTAAAAAAACAGTACCTAATTGATTTTTTTATGCATTTGGAAATTTGTGAAGTAACCACTAAAACATACGAATACGCTTGAACGAAATTTGGACTGTTTATATACAAAATTTCGAGGTTCGTTACTTATTAATGGAAAAAAATCATAAATGCAAAGCATGAAAATTATTTAAGGTTACTTCTAGTAAAACGAATTTTCTTAAATTTAATAGAAGTGTAGACTGTAGATGAAGTACTTAGATGTTTTTCTTAAGGCTCAAATCGAACAAATGTGTAAATCTTGTACAACCATTTAGATTATAAGTATCTACCTATTATTTTTGTTGATAAGTAGGTAATTAAATTACAGGACTGTAGCAGTCGCCAGTACAGCGGTGAAGACAGAAGCCTTGAAACCATGGAGCGAGATCCCAGGACCACCATCATTGCCCATCATTGGGCAAATACATCATTTCCTTCCCGGAGGTAGGTACTTCACACGTTATCTAACGACTAACACGAAAATAAACGATGTCGTCACTTTTATTAGAGGTTTTTTTTCTACTGCCTCGATGGCCAAGTGGACGCAAGTGCGACTGCTGGCCAAGGGGTCTCGGGTTCGATTCCCGGGTCGGGCAAAGTATTACTGGGTTTTTAAGAAAAATTCTCAGTTATAGCACGGAGTCTGGAAATGTGTCCGGTATATGGCAATGGCTAGGTACATGATAACATAAATAGTGAAAAGTGGGTGTTACTTCTATATGCACCGGTGCCTACCCCTTCGGATATAAAAGACTTGAGGTTATATGTTATGTTATGTAAATTTTTTTCCTAATTTAATTTCTTAACTTTTCTTTAACTTTACCATTCGAGACGAATGCTAATTATAAGTTATTATTGTTATTAATTTATATTAAACCGTTACTATATATATATATATATATAAATAACCTTCATATTAATTAGTAATTACCACAGTTCCACGTTGGCCTGACATATATCATTAAGACTATAAGTACAAATTCTTTAATAACATCGTTATTTTATCAAGTAGTCGCACAATGACCAAGTCAGTAGACATGGGTAGGTAATGCGTGTAATAGTACAAAAGTAATATCACTTTGACACGTAATGCAACATCACGCATTACGCATCAGTTACAAACATCACTCGCATCACTCATCACTTCGGCAACGTTCGGTAAGCGTCGTTTTAGTTCGTAAGCACGAGCGCCCACCGCGCGCAGCCGATGTAAAATTTTGCCGGCCGCGCATATCGCGAAAAAGAGACAGAGAATGGTGACACGTGCTATGCAAGTACCTAGTATTCAAATGTTTTGATTTTTTATGTCGCCAAGTTTGTTACCGGGCGGAGTAGGTTACATTGCTTGTAATTAGAAATTAGTTTAGATAATATATAGATTTTTGTTTAGTTCGAAGCGTGCGTGTTCTTTCCGTAGTGTGTGCTAACCAGTGCTAACAAAGTTTTTGTGTTTTGTAAATAAATATTTAAGTAAGTAGGTACTAATATTAATAGGTCTTTACCACAGAGCTACCTACTATGAAATTGCCGCTTTTTTGCTTTGTTTTAATTTGTTTCTTAAAAATGTAAAACATTATAGGTACTTATATCTCTATCGAAATTAATGTTTTATCTCAAAAATAGAGTAGGTAAGTACTTCAGTAAGTAGGTTTATAATGTTTCACGCTAGTAACGGCAATTTCACCTAATATGATAAGGCAAACGTAAATTTGTTTATTACCTAATACTTTATTATTATTATTTACAAAATACAAAAACATAATAATATTTTTAAGTACTTAATTAAATTTACGATATGTAATAACTATTGCAGTTATTATTGCTACTTTTCAATATGATCTGTAATACTTCACATATCACCTTAAACATTACTCGGTCATCATTTCAATAAAAATCGATCGGGTAATGTGTGATGTTACGGAGTAATATCACTTCCGTGGAAGAGATGCGTGATGTTGCATTACTATTTGACGTACTGTTTTGCGCATGTCTACAACGATAAAACAAGTACATCCCACTATAAATATATCGATGAACAGATTAGAACCTGTTCAAGAAGTGTCCTCGGCTGATGTAAGTGAAGTAGCTAGTACAAGCACCGCAAATTTGAACGTACAAGCCACAATAGGTAGTACTTCTAGAACTACCCCTCCAGCTCCGTCTATGAACCAATTTGTTGTGGTGAAAAAGCCCCTGCCACTAAATAGAATTCAGCAGATCGACGAACAATTAATCAGAATGATTGCAAAAGGCTATCACGCTTTGAGAATCGTAGAGGAAAGAGAGTTTCGAAAATTAGTCGAAATGCTAAATTCTGGATACTCACTACCCACACGCAAAACAGTTTCGGAAACTCTGCTTCCTAAAGTTTACAATAAACTATTAGAAAATGTAAAAAGCAAAATCACAAAAGCTACGGCTATATGTATCACCACCGATGGTTGGAAATCTATTACTAATGATGACTATATTGCAATAACTGCACATTATATAGACGTAGACTCCCATCAATTAGTGTCAGTTATGATTGGGTGCATTAATTTTGATCAAAGTCACACAAGTGTAAATATATCTGATTTCCTGAGGCAAAAGTTCACAGAGTGGAACATCGAAAATAACATTGGCGCGATTGTCAGCGACAACGCCGCTAACATTTTGGGCGCAGTGCGGATAGGTGGTTGGAGATCAGTTAGCTGTTTCGCCCACAGTCTTAACTTAGTTGTGCAAGCAAGTATCGACAAAATTGCACACATACTGATAAAAGTTAAGCAATTAGTGGAATACTTTCATCGTAGTCAGCCTGGGGCTAAAAAACTTAAAGAAATGCAGGTTCAAATGAACATTGGGCCACTTAAATTGAAACAAGACGTCAGTACACGGTGGAATTCCACTTACGACATGTTGGACCGTCTACTGAGGATTAAAGATGCTGTGACTGCTACTGTGGCAATTATGAGGGCTGATTTAGCCCTATCACAAGAGGAGTGGGCGATTGTAGAAAGAGCGATCCCTATTTTAAAGGTGTTCTACGAAGTCACCAATGAAGTGAGTGGAGAAGAATACGTCTCCGCTTCAAAATATATTGTTTTTTGCAAGCTGTTGTTTATGCAAATAGAAAAAACTTCTGCCGAGACCTATGCACCGATTGAGGAACTAGTGGCGTCATTAAAATTCGAGATGAGACGTAGATTCGGCGATATCGAAAAACATGTCCTGCTTAGTGAAGCTACTATCTTAGACCCACGCTTTAAAAAAACTGGATTTCGTGATCCTATCAACTTCCAGAATGCCGCAGCGGCACTCAAAATGAAAATCGGTAGAATTGTCTTGCCCGATGAGGACACAGCAAACAATCCAGTGCCCGAAGAACCGACCCCTGGTCCTTCTAAAACAGGTTCAATTTGGGAGGATTTCGATGTCGAAGTTTCGCGATTGATACCAGAAAATCCAACTGCAGCCGGAATCGTGGAATTTGATAAATATTTACAGGAGCCGTTGATCAGCCGGCATCAAGATCCGCTGCAGTGGTGGAGGGAACGTAAAGGAGTTTATCCGCGACTCCACAGATATATGCTAAAACGCCTAAATATCACGGCAACATCTGTTCCTTGCGAGCGAGTCTTTTCTAAAGCAGGGTTAACGCTGAACGAAAGAAGAACTCGGCTTACAACAAAAAAAATATCGGAACTTATGTTCATTAGTTGCAATAAGATGTGAAATAGTTACCTATGTTACAAAAAAAAAACTAAAAAAATTCAAAAAAATACATAAAAAAAAAGATAAAAATGTAAATATTGTACAAATGTGTATATATGCGTTTGTATATGTGTATATATGTATAAACCAATCAATGTTGTAAATAGTTGATTTTTAAATACGCCTGTCTTCCTTAAACAAAGATTGCCAGTCCTAAGCCTGGAGGGCCCCTTTCTTTATTTTGTTTTACATTTGCTTGCGTTCATTACAATTATTAACAAACAACATAAAGTACGTGGCCAAGTATGAAGGAAAATCAACTACATTTTTTTAATATTTACTTAAATTGTAATTTTACGATATGTAATAACTATTGCAGTTATTATTGCTACTTTTCAATATGATCTGTAATACTTCACATATCACCTTAAACATTACTCGGTCATCATTTCAATAAAAATCGATCGGGTAATGTGTGATGTTACGGAGTAATATCACTTCCGTGGAAGAGATGCGTGATGTTGCATTACTATTTGACGTACTGTTTTGCGCATGTCTACAAGTCAGGTTAGGTACCTATGATACCTGGATCAAACATAATATAATCGTCATAGGTAATAATTTCCGATTCAGTATCCAGTAACAACATTCAGCCTCTCTATTATATGGTACTTACACCAATATCAACATTGGTAAAACAATCCCTTCAACTATAGGAGTTCTAAAGACAATTTCGATGATGTCATAATTATCGATTACAGGCACTTTCGGTGACATGAAAGACCCGGAAACTATAATGAGACTGCTCGACACTTATGGACCAGCTGTAAGGCTGGACAGCATGCTGGGCAGGCCACCTCTGCTCTTCTTAAGCGATCCTGATAGCGCGGAACTTGTAAGTATGCCATGCCTTCATCTCAACAGGTAAAACAATAATAATAATTTAATAGCTATTTCAACAATAAAATTGTAAGTATGTCTTTGAACTAACTAAAAATTCTTTGATGAAATCTTTATATATTTTAGCCCTAAAAATGTAATTTTGTGTCCCGAACTTTCCATTAATATTTTATCTAGAAGATGTTCTGATGTATTCAGTCACACAACGTGTCCATCTTACGTTGATTATTTTCGAGTTCTCGACCAATAACCCCTATGCAAGATACTAATTATGGATAGGTACCATTTTGCTATACAAAAACCCCGAATGCAATAATAAAAACTCTTAACTGCCTAGTCTACAAGCAGTCACTGGTGAGCGTTCCCTTATAGATCTTATTTCCGATGTTTAGATACTACTTTTGTATGGACAAATGTTGTGGACTCTTCATAATCGGGGATTCGTTAGTTAAGCAACCGCAATTACATATAATCATAAGAAACAAAAACCGCCAGACTATAAAGTACTCAGGTAACACGTCAATACATAAAAACAGCGTCAAAATACACGTTCATAATACCACAAAACATCTGTTTATTGTTTGATAATAACAACTAATAAAAGCAAGTCATGTTGACTTTGTCTTTTATTTATATAAATACCAATTTTATTAATAATCAACATGTTTATACGCACATAACTACTGAACTACTAGACCAAACTGGATAATTCTGGTTTTGTCGTATTCGACATTGTCATGAAAATCTGAAACATAAATTCAAATTCGGGAAATAGCACCCAGGTAAAGTTAGGGCGCATCGTTAGTTTTTTAAAAATTAACAGTTATAAATCTTGTCCACGTGTAACTCCTTAACGCCCGAACTGCTCGATCAAATACGATATTTATAATTATTTATATCGCGTTCATTATTGTCTACTGCGTGCGTTACTAGAATACAAAGTATGTATGTGACTAATATTTATCCTACCTCTAATTCGATTTTATCTTTTTTATAACGACCATGGACACCTGAAACACCAAGGCGTTAGAAGTGCGTTACCGGCCTTTTGGTAATTGGGAATTCTAGGATTGTGGAGGATTCGGGGATTGGGGAGACTTTGGAGGGGGGGTTATTGGGCCTCCAGTAACCTTACTTAGACGACGAAATACAACGCGAACGTTGTTTCACGTATTGGTTTTCTGATATCACTCCGTGCCGAAGTAGTATCTCTCCCACACGTAAAATATAGATTTGTTCAAGCATTTTGACGTGACTGATAAATAAATTATAATCAAAACTTTCAGTTTAGTAACTTTGAGAAAATCTGGACTCAATATGAAGTTGGAGCGATACACTAAATTGTTCAAAACAGGTTTTGGAAATACATAACTGCTCTTTAGATTATTACTTAACGAATTATTCACTTATCAACATTATGTCATTAACCCACTTCTGACCTGTTAAGTACTAATCATATTGTAATTGTAAATTCGTTACTATCATAATATTACACAATACATATAAATACGACTAAAATAATTATTTCTCCAATCCCATATTCCAATTTAATAATGGGAGGGCATGGAGTTCCTTGCTCGTTCTTCTCCTTAGGAATCTACACACCAATTAGCAAATAGCTTCACTTTTAACACTTCAAGACTCGCTAATGGGTCTTACGGACCCAGTTGCTTAATTTGTTTGTAATAACTTTTAAGATTTGACGTTTGCGATGTTGCCGTTCTTAGTACCTTTTAACAACAGTGTAGCGCGGCAAATGCCGGTCGTATTCGTAAGTTGGCGCCCTGCGAGTGAGTGGTACAGACGTATAAGGTGCGTATGGGTCCTCTGGACCCGGTAGCGACTAAATACGTAAGCGTTCTTTTTCTCATCTTAGCATTATTTATAGACTTGTTTTATGTTTATTTCATAGAAAATGGCTTCCAATAGGCCGTTGAGACTTGACGAAACAGAAGACTATGACTATGAATTAGATATACTATGACTAGAGAATGTTAATAAAGAATAGATGTAGAAACTGGTGAAAAAAAGAAACCGGAAATAATAACCGACTATAATGCTTTGAAATGTGGAGTCGATATAGTCGATCAGACAATTGGTACGTATTCTGTGTCAAGACGAACTCAAAGATGGCCCCTGTGTATATTTTTCGGATTATTGAATATTGGTGGAC